GCATACAATCATCTTGATAAAGTATTTATCCAATTTCGGATCCATCAACAGGGTTTACAATATTCTATATAATTAAAATGTTAAATCACATGATATGTGCCACGTATAGTTAGTATACGAGTGTTGGTAAAAAGAAAACCTATAATTAATTCACGAATAGTTACCTTATTTATCACATATCACTATCTTTATTACGTCACATATTTAACATGGCCTTCTTTAAAATTAAAGTTATATTGTTATATGAGAAGCAATACGTGTTATCGAAACGACGTTGTATATTTCCTGGTCATATGCCTAGGCCGAGTATAATAAATTAGTATCCATGTACGTACTATAGATGTAAACATATATGGTTATAACTTAGTACAACCATATAAAAGGTTATGTTAAACCTGTTTCTAATATTAGCCACAGCAAGGTCAACAATAGTTTGTTATTCAGATAATGATGATTGAATTAGTTCAGAAAAAACATCATTATGAAATATACTGGACAAAAAAGTGAAAATAAGAAACAGAGATGCCCTATAATTTTTGCAAACCCTAAAAACATCTGTAAACTGTTATGATTTTTTTAGGAGATTCATTAAAGTTTTTTTTTTCTACAAAGTTTTACAAAACGATTACTGCAAATATTTCTTTAAAGTGAATCGTCTTACAAAACCTTAAAGAGATAAAAGAACTTTGCAGGGAATCCTTAAAAAAAGTAACAATATAACAACATTGTGACAAATTACTAGGGTACTATAAAAAGTTAAAAATTAACAGGGTATTTTTTTATAGTACAATATTTTACATATTTTTAAAGGCTCTCTTGTATACAGTAGAAGTATCTTTTTAATATCATTCACGTCCGATAACTATTTTTCTAATAGTTGTCGAGGATGATAAATTTTAAGGACCTTCGAATTGATCAATTGTCTAAGGTAATTTCTTTTGTAGGATCTTTTTTTTTTATATTTCTTATTTTAAAAATTTCAGATGGTCCCTTCACATTCTTTTTTTGAATAACAAGTATTGCTTGCTTGCTTCACGAAAAAAAAACGGATCATTTGGCGTTACTAGATTAAAATTATTAATTTATCTGACCTTTTTGAAATTTCGGATGGTCCATTCACATTTTTTTTAAAATAACAAGTAAATAAATTTATTTCTTATTTGCTTGACGAAAAAAAAACGGATCATTTGTGTTACTAGATTATTAAAATTATTAACCTGTCTTACTTAAATAAAAACCATTGACAAGTTATGTTCACACGCCACATTATTTTTCTACGATTCTCATGAAGATTTTTAAACCAAATATAATTAATTCCTACTGTATATTAAAAAAAAAAAATAAGTTTAAGAACAAAAAATGAAATAAGAAAATAAGATTTTTATAATTTGTTTTAGAAAAAGGAATAAAATTAACCATAGCTTACGTCAGACTTAACTATGACAGTGTTTTATATATTAACTTTGTTATATATTGAAATTTCAAATCTATTAAAGATATGTGACTTCATTGTTCTAATTGTGATATTATGGGATATGTGCGAGTTCACAAATAATCATTATTATATTTGTTCAACCTATGGTAGTTAGCAAGGCAAAAGGGAGATCTCAATAACAGCATTTATATATACTTGCATTTATATTAACGTTCAAAATTTGCTTTATAAATCAATTAGATAAAGCTTTGTCTTTTTATGTTAATATTGCTGAAAGAGAAAAGGAATTAACAAAATACTTTATATTTTGTATTTCTATGAAATTTTTCCGTAATGAAAAAGAAATACTTATTTCATTTAATTGAAGATTTCTTTTGTCTCGATATTCCGTTCTAATTTTAGGAATACCGGAACATTAATTATTAATCGTAACACAAATTGATGATCCTTCATAGATAGAAATGCATGCACGCACAGATATTTTCCTAAAATAGAAGAATGTAAAATACTATCTGGCTTTGACAACTATCGAGGGTGAGGCATGATGCTTTGTACGTAATGCCAAATTATTTCTATAGGAATATTAATACTTAAACCACCGTCATGAATTTCCTCTACGGTGAAATAAATTAGTATATAACTAGCGATTTTTATTCCTGTTGTTGCGAAAAATAATAGTACTTTCATTTATCACTTGATATTAAAGATTATTTACTCATTATATATAGAATTAATAATTGATAGTTAATTATTTACGTATAGTACATGCATAAATATAAAGGTGTATGTGCCACCAATATTACGAAACTTTAATCAAAAATAATTTGGTAATGATCGAAGAATTTTTCAATTTTTTCCTGCTTCAAGCTTGTTACTCTATAACAATAAATATTTAATCTTTAATCTTTGAATAGATAATCTGCTTATTATATAAATTTATCATTGTGTTATCCGAAGATAAATGTTGGACCGAAGTTATTCATACCATAAGTCAATTAAATATACAGTTGAACTTTAGTTAATATATTTAAAAGTTTCCGTAATATAAATACAACAATAAATAAAATTTCAATAGTAAATGATAAGAGATGAAAAAGTTTCTAAATTAGGTTAATTATCAAGGTAGATTTATTTCATTAATTTCTGCTAGATTCTATATCTTCACCAATTAAAATTACTTCAAATGGAAATAGTATAATTAATTTTTTTTTATACATTTTCACCTTGTTACCTTAAATTCCGTACACGTTGAATATGATAATTAATTCTGAGTATAATATGACATAATTATAATTCCACTGTTTCATCCGATAACTCCTTAGAAATTTCAGAAACCTTTGAAAATAATCAAGAAGCATTTATCTTTTTTTCTCATTCGGATTAGTTAGAATTAATTCTCATTGACCGTAGAAAAAAAACCGACTTTCAATAAACGACTTTTTTTTTATTTATTTATTTATTATTTGTTTATATTGTGCGATACTAGATACAGTAGATGATCATGACTTACTGTACTAAATTTAAAATAAGAATAAATTGTGATGTTAAAGAAAACTGGTGATCTAAGTTTGAATTTACTACTTTAATTCGGCCCTAAAGATAAAGATTATTTTAGACAATAACTTATAGGCTCCTCGCATGCGCCTAGATGTAAATTTCAAAAAATATTTTGTAAATAAATAAATAAAGAATTCTAAAGATAAGACTTTTAATTTTTCCTTTTATAACTTTATACTATATAACTTTCTTTAATTATTAGCGCGTTGTCTTATTCATACCTATAATAGGACGAGCATTTATAATTAGCACGTAACTTATAAGCCAAATTCATTCCATTAATTTTAAATTATATTTCACCAAAGAGTAAAAGATATCTATTTTTTTTTTTATTATATATAAAAATTTTAAAATCATAACTACTTAATTATGATTTATTATTAGGAGATTAACATTTATAACTTCTAAATAGTATCCTATTTTTACTACTTTCAAGTTTTAAGGTTAGTTTAAGAATAAGTTATATATAAAATGTCACAGTGTTATTTTTGGACGACGAAAAGCGGTTTCCCTCATCATATTTGTAGATAGATAAAACAATTTGATAGACAAATCAAATAGTTTGTGGTGATAACGTTTTCAGATATTGTGTGTTACTTAATTGTTAGAATATTTGCACAGTACAATGGATTTAAATTATAAATAGCTGATGATGAGTCTAGGACATACTATTGAACAGTGTTGGTCAATGACCTTAAATGACCTTTATGACCTGTTATTTGGTCATAACGAAGCTTTATGACCTTTTAATATAGTAAGAAACATAATAAAAAATTTTTTTATTAATGTTTGATATAGCCGATATGACTTATGACCAAAAAGTCATAACTCCGTACGTACGTACGTACCATATAAATTTATTACTATATATGTTGGATATATCATATCCGATAATCCAATATTATTTTAAATGTTAACTTTTTTAATTTAAACTTATTTTATTTTATTTTTATTTTTTTTACATTTTAAATATCAGTTTATGTACAGTACGTACGTATGACGGCGTGAGAAATTAAAAGAAATTAAACAAATTAATTTAGAATGTATCAAAGATATAGAAAGCAAATGTCACGTTAAAAGATCTACTGCGCTAAAGCAGATTTTGTTTTGATGCACAAACAAGTAAAGAAAGGCAATTATTTGTGATAAGTAAAAAAAAAAAAAAGTAAAGACAATCAACCCGTCGGTTTTTATCCCTTAAAGTTATTATTCTAAACCCCAGGATTTGAACAGTCCTTTTACATATATGTCTATCCCCATTCTAGGATGTATTATTAATTACTGATAATCTAATTAAGGATTCAAATTATAAAATAGATAATACGTATTTTCGGCTTGTAAAGAGAGTCAAAGTGATCAAATTTCACAAGAATTATTTTTACTTATAAATATTTACTCATAAAACTTGTTAATTAGCATATGCCAATATTGCCTGTATGCAGAACGTAATAAAATTTTAAATATTGTCTTCTGTTATTTATGCGTTGTTATGTTAGCACGTTCGATTTTTGACTACGTATTTGTTATAATAGCCTTTTGACGGTTCTTTATTTAAAAGTAGTTGCGACCTTGAAAATTAATTAATACTAAAGAATTTCGCGTAGTATTAACTGTATTGAGAGAATTTTATACCAACTGATAACGAAAGTTTATTTTTGTTTATTTGTATATGCGGGAAAGTGAAACAACAAAGAGAAATCGTGACACGATAAGACGAACTCAAATTCGGCGGTTACTTGTTTAGCGTTTATCTCTGATCGATTAACATATTTTGGGGTACTTTGTATGGTGTAATCTGTAAAGTAATGCTTTGCTTGAAATTCTTTAATATTACATCTAATTATGACCATTATTACGTGATGTATGTACATATGTATGTATATATGTATGTATATAAAAATTTAACAATTAAATCTGATTTTATTTTATAAACAAAGGAAAATTAATTTATAAAGCTGCACAAACTACCGCGAATTTTATGATTTTTTGTACTTTTTTTTCTTTAAAAATGGAAAACGGGGAATTCGCTCAAATATCAGACCAAAAGATGGCAAGGCCTCGCGCTCGTTATGCATGTTTTAGTTGTAAAAAATCTAAACGTAGGTGTGATGGAATACCAAATCAAAGAGAATGTAGTGAATGCAAAAAGAAGAGACGAGACTGCAGTTTTTCTGTTTGTCCAATGTGTCATAATAAAAACAAAAACAATATCAATGATATTTGCGATAATTGTTACAGCAAAAGTATGCAACGAAACTTTCAAATGGAATATGAAATTTATAATGGTATATGTGATAAATTTTATTCTATTAAAATAACCATTTAAATGTTTAAAATAAATTAAAATAGCCATTTAAATGTTTAAAATAAATTAAAATAACCATTTAAATGTTCTAACATCTTTCTCATTTTTTCTTATAATTAATTATATAAAGGTTACGAAGACGGCATTTCATACAATGACACATTCACATACGCTGCAAGTTCAAGTCCATATAGTAGTCTGCCGCAGTTTTATGATAACGTAAGTCAACAAACTTACAGGAATGATTTCTTGGACCAAAATGAGATTCAAGGATTTAGCTTTCCGGATCATAGTTTTTCGCAAGTTTACCAAAATGATGATTTTGGTTTGTTTATACAATATTTATTTTTATTTTTATTGTACGTTCATTAATGAATGTTGAATTTTGATTTTGACTTTGACTTTTATTAGGCCCGTATGAAGCTTGTGAGAGCGAAAAGATAAATGAGATTCTTCAATGGGATATTTTATGGTATAGTTATAACTATAATTTACTATTTTGAGGGTTGTATTAAAATGAGTACATGTGTATTCATAGATATTAATCTGACTTGCGGAAAATTTTTTTCACAAATTTATCAGACTTTTGTATAATTATATTAGACTCCGATATATTTCATTGTCATTAAATACCTTTATCTGTTTTATTATTCCGGGTAGTTATATATTAACTCCGGTTTATTTTTAATCGTAACTAGCAAAAGCGACATCAACGCTTTTTTATTTTTATCTTCATTTACTGTATTTAAAAAAATTTTGTTATTCAGAACCAAATAAAAAGAAAAAAATAAAACAAAGTCTTTTATATTGCTTTTATTACACCTGAATGTTTATTTTTTACATCTAAATTTAACAAAGGAATATATACTTTTTGAGTGCGGTTTATTTTCCGATCATATTAAATATCATATTATGCCTTTTCTTTTTCTGTATACTTACTTTGAAAGGGCTCTCCGTATTTCATTGTTAAAAAAACTTGTTCATTTTATCATGTTAGAAGCCGGAGTTAATAATTCCGGTGGTTGCACAATTTAAAGATTCTACTCAACTGTAATAAATATATTTAATTAATAGAGTCGAACAATTCGATTAACATCCTTAGCGGTACTTGACACAATGATTTATAGTTTACTGTTTGCCACTAGGATCAGAACGGCTTTACAATGATCGATCTGAACCCTATAGGCTGACTTTCTTGATTATTGAAATTTCCTGATTGGTTGTTTATCAGTTGTGCTAACATGTGACAATCAAATTACGTACGTACGTACGTACGTACAAATTCTAAGAAAAAAATTGTCGATCATGTTTCTTAAGCTTTTTAAATGTACAGTATACTGAAATAAATATAAAATTTAAAAATTTTATAATTTATCATATCTAGAGTTCGTTATAATGACACATTAAAGTCATGTTGTAATCTCTACCATATTAAAGTTTTAATCTCTGAAGCTTTTAAAAATTCTTTACATTCTAAAAACATTCTAAACGTAGCTTTAATAATCAGTTTATTTACTTTTAAAAAATTTATTAATTAGTAGCAATCATATACTGGATGTTTCAAAAGTTCCAAAACGTGGTCCCTTTTTTTAAATGACCTTATACATTGAGATCACGATAATTATTTATATTTTCATAAATGATCTCTATGTACAGTATAAAAAAAAAGGGACCGTGTTCTGGAACTTTTGAAACACCCAGTATACGTAGTTTTGTAGTTATAATAAAATATTCACCGTCTAAAAAATACTTCTAGATTGTGAACCATTTTACGTAATGAATGTTTGCGTTTCTTTGAAGATAGAGATGGTCCTAATTTTATTTTCACTTTTATATTGTATAAAATTTTTAATCATAATATTGAGTAGAGACTGTTTCAAATTTGGAACATTAGATTTAAATTGTATAAATACAACTATGAGTATTGACCAATCTGAAGAAAATTATCCTATAACCTGAGCCAAAATGAAAAAATTTTTTGTTTCCAGTTTCAAACTGGTTCATAGTGGTTCGATTTTTTTACTATTTGATTGAACAAAATTTAACAATTCCTCACATCTAGTCATATTTGAATAAGGCTTAGATTATAGTTGTTAGACAAACCATTTTTTGCATGATGACAAAATACGAAACCTCTGACGAAATCGAAACCTCAAATTCTTCTGAAGAAAGACGAAACCTTAAACTTAAAATGACGAAACCTTATGCTCAAAAAGACGAAACCCTAGTGCTCCCGCTAAAAAAAAAAAAAGTATTCCATTTATAATTTATTCAGAGATTAGTATCCGACATCCAAAATTACATGTATACCAGCAAAAATAAACCAGTAGTTTATTTTTCTGAACAACGCTATGGTTGTTATAGACCGGTTGAATAACCTCATCGAAAAGCCATAGCACTCATGGACAAATAATGAATTATAACATACTGACACAAAATAAATTTGTAAGATTACAAATGATTTCTCACTAGAACTGATATATAGTATACTAGTATAATCAATATATAATACTCATTTCTAACTCCCTTTAAACATTTAAGGCCTATTATACAATAAAATTTTTTGGAAAATTTATAAATTTCTGTTAGTCTATTTTTTTATACACATAATTTTTAATAAATTTCAACAACATTTATTTGTATGTCCGTCTTTACCTTTTGTCAGTTTCGTCACCTTTCGTCAGATTCGTCATTTCGTCATTTAAGATTTTAATTGATGAAAGACGAAACTAGGTTTCGCATTTCGTCAGCGCGAAACCTCGAGGTTTCGTCTAATAACTATAGCTTAGATTATAATAAAACACCAACGTGGTCATACCTGAACCTGAAATTGTTATGTAAATAGGGCTTAAATAAATTGTTTTACATCTACTATACATTTATAGAACTAGGAACAGTAATTTAAGGAAACAAAGCGAAGAGAAATATGTATATCGGCAATTTCTCAAAAAGTCATCAACCCTCTAAATGCAATACCTTTCTACCAGACTCCTACAAATGCAATTTTCTTATCATCCTCTACATAAAAGAGTTGTCAAAATTCTGGCTTTTATGAGTTATATTTAGAGAGATTTGATTGTACAGTATTTTGTTGGTTTTTATTCATAGATTTTTTGCTTTGTTATTTCTATAGAGACCATTAATGATCCACTCATTAATATTCCAGTGTTTCATTTCGATAGTAATATGTGAATGGTATATATTATATTCAGATTGAATTACATTGGAGTTTGTTTATATATTTATAGCTTGTGTATTATCATTGTTGTTATAAAAATTAAACTACAGATAATAGCATGTTGCTCACATTATCATAATGCTGTAACTATACAGTCTGCCGATTTACCGAATTAGGAAATCGAATTCTAGAATGATTTACATAAGAGCTCTTGAATTTGATTGGCTCTCACGTGCTTTCATTCGTAATTTTTACCCCTTATATACGCACTATATTTAACTTATTATTATTAAGAACGAATAGACGTACGAACAGACAATATTACAAGTTTAGATTTAATAATCCACTAAAATCCACCCTAGTTAACTCTGTCGAAAAAGTAAATGAGACTTGGAATCGTAGGATCTTCTTTGAATAATAAGTCCATAATCTTGTTAACTAAATAAGATTTAAATATTTTTATAGTGTTGGAATCTCAAAGAATGAGAGCTCAAGATCTTCTCTGCTTTTTTGAAAATTTAGTTGAAAAATATAAGGAAGTTGGGTTGAAATCTTGTGAAACAAAAGAAACTTAAAGATATTGGCATGCTAGTACACAAGAAGCAACTAGGCAACTTGCACTTTATTATCTATATTTTACTGAACTTACTAACATTCATTATTTAACAGTTTATTCTTTTTGTAAAAGATATTATAATCAACTAATTGTTTCTAATCATTTATACAATTTTCTTCAAGGTTTAGCTGAAAAACGTAATAGAATCTAACCTGATGATAATCAAAGCAATATGATTGATAGTTTAACTGCTTCAATGGTTGCATTTAGCAAGGCTATGAATCAATTGGGCTTTATTCAAACAAAAATTTAGCAGAAATTGCTATTAATTCTAGAACTCAGGGATCAAATTTCATGAATGTAGCAATACATAGATGGCTAAAAAAACAAGATAAAGGAGTTAAAAAATTAATTACAAAAAGTTTATAACAATATAATTGAAATTCAAGAATTGTATGATGAATAATGTAAATACAATAAAGCTCTTGTTGAATAGTAGAACACCAGATTTTCTAATTAGCAAAAATGTATCAATGTGATAATTGAAATAGCAAAAGCAGGTGGGTTAAATTTATTTATTTTAATTTCTTTTATTATCATTCAGTATTGCTTGCTATGAGATGCCAAGTTGGTATATTGTTTTGATGTTATTGAATTAGATATTTATAAATTTTTTTAAGCACTAATTTTATTGTTTGATAAAGTAGAGTTATTAATTTATGATAAGGCTAGATTTTTTTATAGAGAATATTATAACATATAGTCATATCAGCAGATTTGTGAAATTTGAGCTGTAACTCTAATTAAATTTGCAGATCATTTGGCCTGGTTTAAAATTAGTTGACTTCAAAGCTGGCCAAATGATCTGCAAATTTGGCCAGGTTACGGCTCAAATTCCACAAACCTACCAATATATTCATATAAATAGCTTAATAGATACAATTAGATAATTGTTAAATTTATAGAGACCCTAATTCAAAATAACTGAAATAATATTTTAAGCCAAAAAAAACTCTTTAAAACTACAACTGCAGTTGATTTGATATGTAGTGTGTGTTATAAGAAATATGTATCAAAAATCCAGCTTGCTTTTTTGGCTATTAAGTATTTAATTACAAAATCAAGAATTATAATTAATATTAACAATCATATTATTAATTCAGAAAATGAATATTGGTTTCAAAACTGATTAGAAGAATGATCAAAACATGAAAAACCTTTACCTAAAGGCCTTTTATTTCTGGCATTTAATAATAAGCAATAGGGGCAGAAAAACTATCTTGATTGGGAGTTTAATAAAGTTATTTACTATATTATTACAAGCTTTGTTAGTTTCAATATGATGCTACAGAGCAAAATTCAATATAATGATTTACCTTGAGTATGTAATTCTCTTAACAGGTCACAGTATAATAAACTTTTTGATGTAAATACTCAGATGCAAAAAGTTAATGATAAAGAACTATATTCTTATTTTAGTGGAATTTTTAACCTGCTATCTGAAGAAAAGCTAATATCTACTAATATTATTGATTTATATATAGTATCTACAGGAGCAAATATTACAAATATCAAAAGAGTAT